CAGTATCCTCCCCCTGGAGTGGGTGGAAATGGAGATTTTGCAGTATCTTTCCCCTGCCATGCCCACCAAGCCACGTCCACAGAACCAGTAGTAAAAAAAAAAAAAATGAATTTCACCACTGGGTTGAAGATATGGAGAAAAGAGGAATCAAGAGTGTCTGGAGTATGTTCTATATGATGGGCTTTTTACTTTGTGGGGAAAGAGACAATTTGGAAAGGGGCTACAATAGATTTGATAGATTTATGCCCAGTATAGAAAAATGAATTTCTTCATAATATACTGGGTTTTCTCTAGAGCAATCCCCAAATGGGACAATTTTCTTATCTCCGCTTAAGTGAAAAGGACCTTAAGGGGCAAAAAGCCGTGTGAGTGTGTGAGGAGAACATAGATGAGGCGGAAGATCTGTCTTCCATCTCCCTATACTGCATAAATCCTTTTCAGTTTCTCTCCCATAACAAACAAACAAAAATGGCTTTTTAAAAGTGCGGAACAGAATAACACCAAGTAATTCATATTTGAGGAATTTTCTAGATCTTACTTAAAGTCAAAAATTATCAAATGCTTTTCCAATATAATTTTCTACTTTGAATTGTTTTCCACAGGACGTAGAGCCACTTCTGAACGAGGACACCAACCTTATGCTCCACCTTCAGCGCTTTGAGAATACGCTCAGTCTTTTCGCTGAGGAGTCTGACAAAACCCAGCTTTTCGCCCATCTGGGGCGCATGGCTCTCGAGTTTAACCGCCTGGCCTCCAAAGTGCACAAGAATGAGCAGAGGACATCCATTCTTCAGGTTCGAAGGCTGCTGGTAGATGTGCACAATTCATTTGCTTCTCTGTATTCCTGAGTTCTCATCTCATTTTTATTTTTTTTCTCCTCTCCCCTAAGTGGCCATAACAGGTACAGGCCATCTCGTAAAAATATTCCCTATGCACCCAACCATACTATACCATCCCAGCTCATCTGGTTTTATCATGCCCTTTATGGCCCTTTACCTTTCCCCCCCTCATTCTTTTATGTCTGTGACATCCTCAATACTGCTCTCTCCCATCTATCTTTTGAGAAAATGAATAAAATCCTTTTGGTCCAGTTTTATTGCTCTTAGCTTAAATTCTATTTGCCTGCGTCCCTACCATGAACTCATGCTGGGCAGAGATTTTATTGCAAACTCTGTGACTGCTCTAAATCATGTTGTCATGCCCGGTGACATTCCATTGTCCTAAAGCGGTTCCTACCATAAGAGCTGTGGTGGCTCAGTGGTTAGAATGCAGTACTGCAGGCTACTTCTGCTAACTGCCGGCTGCCAGCAGTTCAGCAGTTTGATTCCCACTGACTTTAAGGTTGACTCATCCTTCCATCCTTCCGAGGTGGGTAAAATGAGGACCCAGATTGTTGGAGGCAATATGCTGACTTTGTAAACCATGTAGAGAGGGCTGTAAAACACTGTGAGGAGGTATATAAGTCTAAGTGCTATTGCTATTGCTAAATAATCATCATTTAAAGACTCTCTGATGACAATTAGGAAGCACAAAGGTATTCCTTTGTTCATTCTTTCATTCAGTTTCCAACAAGGATGTGAAACTTTCAAGGGCTATAAGATGTGGCCTTTGTCAGTCAGATGTTTAAAGCATAAAAAAACCTCTTTTCCTCTACGCTACAAACTAATCAGTGAAACCTTTGGATAAAAAGAATAATAATATTTCCTTGCCAGTGATATACACTTTCTATTAGTAAAATGGGCAGGAGCAATTGTGTCACCCCTGGAAATGAAGCTTATCCTTTTTTCTAAGAAATTCTCTTGGGGGCAGCTTTGACATGGCTTTGCTCATGTCACTTAACTTTAGCAATAACTACCAGTAGCCCATGGGGATGAAAAGAGCAAGCTAGGCCAGGCTAGAGTAAAAGAGACTGTATCCCTTTGAAGTCAATAAAAATTTTTCTCTTATTATAAAAAGGGTTCTATGTATTTGGGATGGGTAGAATTCCATTTGGGATCCTGGCAAATACAGAAATTTTCTCTTCTCAGAGATGGATTGAATCCTGATCTTTCTTTCTATCCAAGTTTTCATGATTAGAGCAAACCAATGTAGCATAAAGTGTGCACAGTTATATATACATGTATTTGCAATCATAGATTTTAGCAAAAGTCATATAAAATCACAACAGTCCATAACCATTCAGTACATTCCTTCTTTAGCATAAAGCACAAAACTTTCAATAATTATTTGGAAGAACTGCTTGAGATCTTATATTCTCACATTTTAAAATTTGATAAATATACATACATGCAGGACTTCTGTGCTATTCTTTAAAGCAGATTAACTTCATATAGAAATTGAGCTGCTTTCATGAGTAACACAGAAATGCTGTACTTCCATGAGATCTGAAGCACTTCTGGATTTCTGAAGCATAAACAATTTTAATATTCAGTGAGGGTGTCCAGTTAGGTCTGAGGAGATCTAGTACTTATCAGTTACTTGTAAATGAAATTAGATTTCTCACTGTTTCTCAGCTCCATTTTGAGCTTCTTGGGTAAGGAACTGAAAGAATCCAGTTGGATATTTGTGTCAACATCTGAAAAAAGAGGTGGTGAAATTTGTGCTTAATTCAGACTAAAAATAGGTACCAAGAAAAAATAGTAGGCCACCTCTTGCTAGAAGCTTTTTGAAAATATTTAAACCATTCACTGTTTTCATGAGACCTAAATAAATCCATATTTTTACCCTCTACTTCTTTAGAAACTCTGTTCTCCATGCTCTAATGTTACAGTGCAATACATGGCTACTAAAACTTCTTAGCTTCGCTGCTTCTATGAGATACTCTTCCCAAAGAGGCCATTTAATTGTAAGACAAATCAATAGACAGTTTTGTTCTCTCCAGCCTTTGGATGTTTCATTGTGTGACGGAGATGTTTTTAACTCTTTGCAATCTAGTAACTTTTCTGATTACTTGAGGTGCTTATTCCATATTCCTTTTTTATTATGTGTGTTATTCTGCTATTTTAAATTAGATGTGTAGATGCAGATTGAAAAAAGACCAGTTTGTTTGAGAAATTGTTTTTATGAAATAAAAACAATAAATGAAATATATATGTGGTGGAATAGTGAGAATGCAGTATTGCAGGCTAGTTCTGATGACTGGCAGCAGTTCGATCCTGACTGGCTGAAGGTTGACTCAGCCTTCCATCCTTCCAAGATCGGCAAAATGAGGCATTAAATTGTTGGGGGCAATACCTGTAAATCACTCACAGAATGCTATAAAGCCCTCTGGAGTGGTATTGTTGTGGCCCGCCAGTGCTGGAGGCAGAGAGGGGTCCAGAACCATATGCCTATTAACAGCTGTCTTCACAGTCAGACATCAGTGAGGCAAACAAACAGCTGGTGCCTGTTCCCGGTGTGCGCATGCGCAGAGTTGCCAGATGAACAGCTAAAGAATAGGGGTTGACTTGGGAGTAAGGCAGTGGTGGGTTTCAAAAATGTTTAGAACCTCTTCTGTAGGTGTGGTCTGCTTTGTGGGAGTGGTTTACCAGCCATGTGACCGGGTGGGAGTGGCTTGCCGGCCATGTGACTGGGTGGAAGTGGCTTGTCAGCCATGTGAATGCGTGGGCGTGACCAACTTGTAAAATGTGGTGAAACTCACTTAACAACACTCTTGCTTATCAATCAAAATGTTGGTGCAGAAACTCTGGCATTTGAAGCACGCAAGTGTTAAAGCTGTCAAGTTACAAGACTCTTGCACTCCTAACCCTTTAGAAAAAAAAACCCCAGGGGTGTTCAAACTTGACAGCTTTAAGACTTGTGGACTTCAACTCCTAGAATTACTCCTCTTGCTCTTCATCTTGATGATGTGCAGATGGGCGGGGGGGAGGGAGCTGGACCAGTTCTAAACAGCACTGTAGATTTGTGGAACCTCTTCTATAGGTTAGAACTGGCAGGAACCCACCCATGCCATAAGGCCACAGGTGGATGATGAATGGCCCTTCCAGAAAAAATAAAAAAGGAGCGAAAGGGGAGTGAAGTTTGCAGGAGACAATTAGTTCACTTAATTGGTTTGGGATTCTCCAAGACTCCTTGCCAGGTTTTGCAGATTCGGCCTGTCAGCTTTCCAAGCTAGATAAGGTCTGTTATTGTAAATCCTCCCTTGAAAGACTTTACTGGATGTGAATGAGCAGAATTCACAGGAAATTAATAAAAGAGGTTTTTGTCATGACAAAGAGTTGCTTCATACTCTTCGGAACCTTAGGTCAGAACAGGTATATAATAATAATACAATAATACAATAGCAGAGTTGGAAGGGACCTTGGAGGTCTTCTAGTCCAACCCCTTGCCTAGGCAGGAAACCCTATACCATTTCAGANGTAGCTTGAGCATTGGCAATGTTGGAATAATGGGGGAAATATTACTTTAACACCAGTAGAGCTAAAAAGGATTTGAGCTTCTTTCACATGTACTGGGGATGAGCTGAAGACCCCAAAGGCCTGGGGTCTCCATAGAAAAAGAAATTGCTAGAGCATGTTTGTTTCCATAATTAAAGGTAAAGCGGAGAAAGGCCTTGGATTTTAGCTTGGCATTTCTGGAATCTCACAGACTAAAACCATAAAAAGCATCTGTAATAAGATACTTATCAAGTGCTAGGCAATGGCATAAAAATGGTAAAGACTTCCGTTTCCACAGCAACAGAGGGCCTAAATACTCTTTATTGTACTTTAATGTAGCTATGATATCTGAGGGGGAAAAAAACCCACGGGACCTACATTTACAAATGTACAGTTACATCTGTAATTTTCCTCACCTCACCCTGAAAAAACCCCATAAATCAACTTGTTTGTTTCTTACACATAATGATTGGTTATTTGCCATATCGGCAGATTACAGAAGTGTTAGTCTGCCACATCTTCAGGGCATGAGTTTGGGGGGAAATTGCCCAGGGAGAAGTAGATAAAAATCTAATGAGAATCTTGCTTTGAGCATTGTTATGTCCCTTGAAAGTCCCTTATATTGTGCCTTACAAGGCAATAAAGACCTTAGACTGAAGATAGATATACAGGCTATGGTTCCTCCTTGAGGTCTTTTCCTCATGAATCATCTGGCAGAGAAATGGCCAAAGTCTTTGGCAAGACTGGATTTTTTTCCTCTCCCTGAACCAAGTTCATTGGGGCAGCCTCTGGAGGGGAGGAGATCATGAGTCAGCTATAGGTGCTCAGCAAAAGGTTGCATTTCCCTGGTTTTCACTTTCAAAGATTCCTTTTGCATGGGCTGCCTGTGAGGTGGCAATCCAAGCTGGCTGTGCTTGCCGTTGAGCAAAGGCTCAGTCCTATGTGGTCAAAACTCCGAAGAATGAACTATAGCTTCCAGTAGCAAAGGCTTGGCAGGCTTCCTGAAATTTAAGGAGGTAAGTTTAGGAGGGTCCATCTGTCAGATATACCTGAGCACTTGCAATATTGAAAATGAAAATGGCTAATGCAACTGTAAAACAAAGTCCTGGAACTGGAGAAGAAAAGGTGGGAAAAGGCTTTCTTAAGTTGAGAGAGAAGAAACATTGGTCCAGATGTGGAAGGATCGTCCATTAGAGTGAAAGTAGTAGTGAAGTAGGATTCTGGATGCAATTCAAAGCAGTGGTGGTTACTTTTACATCCCTGATGGTTTTTGCCCATTTCAGCAAGATGGGCATGCTCCAGTCCCATTGGTGAAGCGTTTTCACTTGGAGGCTTCCAGCAAATGGACCTTCTCTCTCATGCTACCTTATTTAATGGAACAGCCCCTCTCCCATGCCGATATGGCAGCCTCAATCCCTTCAGCTTTCTGGAAGGCTGGAAAGACCCAGCTCTTCTGTAGGATCTGGGACCAGGTTGTTAATGGATGCTAGCATGGA